GCCACTTTGTCTCTGGCATTACCTTTATCACTTTAAAGGGGAAGGCCGAGCCCTACACTCTGCAAGGAGTCCCCAAGCAAGAAACCTCCAGATGGGTCGGGTGAAAAAACCCGGCGCGCCTAGAAGATCACAGGCGCCTGACTTGCTGAAGGCTCGGAAACACGTGTAGGCATAGGTGCACTTTTTGGAAAATAGATGGCCCTGGTAGATGATTGAACCACCAGGCAAACCAGGGCCTTCTACTTTCAAGCAAACCAACCAGAGTGTAGGTGACAAGCGCCCCTTTTCGCAGATTGTCTTTTGTGGGTGTGTTTCTTTGAACAAAGCATGATATAAGCAGTTAATTAATTTCTCATGTGTCATTCAATGAGTGCCTCTGATGGTCAGTTGGATGTATGTCAAAACTAGGGGCCCTGCCCGCCGTTCCAAAAATGTGGCGGGCCCTTGTCGTGACATACATCGTCATCTGGACATGCGAATGAACCAAAGTTTGCAACTTGGCAAGAGACACGGCTTCCTGGGCAGTGGAAACGCATCCTTGGTGCTAACCGATCCTGAGTCGCAAAAATGAGAAAGAACCTTGGGAGGCATCGGCAATTGACGTCGGCGAAATCAAAAGCTGAATCCCGAAGCCAGGCTTCTCAGGAAGCCACCCTCACCTTGCCGCTTAGCGGCCTATGCGGTTTGGGTATGCTTTCCGGACCCTCTCCTCCCGCAATGGGATGGGTGTACTGGTGAAAATTGCTTCTTTGCACCGTCTGCATGACCTGAGCATTGGTTACCCATCCCCTAGAGAAAGGATCTACCATCCGAGTAGCCACACGTGAAAACCAAGTTGAACTATGTCACAATGTGTCAAGAGTGGTTACGCCATGTCCCATGCTGTTGTCCGTCCAGATTGAGCTCTGATACTCAGAAGATCTGACCACTGCACTCCATGGGAGAGTAGCCCATGCCCTTCAACAGTTGACTGTTCTGCTCATCAGCAAATCCAGCAATGCTGCAAGGGTGGCTCAGCGTAAACTAATCTTTGACTCCTGCGGACATTAACTTTCACAAAACGAGGGCCATCTCTGTGGAATGCTCCCGATGAAAGAAAAAAGGCGAGCACAGGCCTTCTTTATAGTGGTTCTCACTAGCCCCAAACCACTACACCCAGAACAAGTGAAATATACCATTTTTCTAGGGGTTCATTCCCCATTCTGTTCAACCATCGTTATTTTCAAAAACCAGCCATTTTCCCTGGGTTTCTGGAGGATTTCTAGAAAGAAGGATTCCTGGAAAGAATGGGGAAGGTAGCCCTAGTATGTTTGTCTAGTGGCCCAAAGGTCAACTCCGAATTCACTGACCCTCAGGACAGCCAGCGTGAGCTCCCCGATCGCCCGTTCCCATGCCGCCGCACCTTCCACTCGGCCTCCGGCCCTGCACCGCGAAGTTGTATCCAGCGGAACGGTGTCTTTGAGAGTCCCCCCAAAAAGGGTGCATGGTTTCAAGTCGGTGTATATGCATATGTATATGTGTCTGTATATGTATATGAATATCTGTTGAAGGGAAAGCAACAATTTTGGGGAATAGACACCAAATAACCACGAAGAAACCCTGAGCTCCGAGGGAAAACAACCAACTCAAGACATCCGAGCCACGAGTTCCGGTTGAATGGAAACCAATGCAGGGCTATCGCCAAATACAAATAAAACAAATCCGGCTTAAAATTGGCGAGAAGAACATTGGAATACAAAAGACATTTCCCTCCCGCCAATTCACATGGAACCCCATTTAAAGGGACCCCCTGGAAGACCATTTTGCTTTTAAAGCGACCTCCTGTCAGGTTCCATGTTGATTGGTGAGATGCTGAGAACTGCACGTTTTAGCCATCTGTGCTTTCTCCGGAGGGATGAATTAGGTGGTAAGGTGGTCGGGATCTGTATACGCATTACGTACCTGTGCAAAGGTCAGGTATATATATATACACATACACATACACATACACATGCACATACACATACACATACACATAAACAGACACACACACATTCACATACACACGTACACAGGCGCATACACATACACATAGGCGTACGCACGCACAGACACCCACACACACACACACACACCCACACCCACGCACGCACGCACGCACGCACGCACGCACGCACGCACGCACGCACGCACGCACGCACGCACGCACGCACGCACGCACGCACGCACGCACGCACGCACGCACGCACGCACGCACACACACACACACACACACACACACACACACACACACACACACACACACGCGCGCGCGCGCGCGCGCGCACGCACCCACACACACCCACACACCCACACGCACCCACACACACACACACACGCACGCACGCACGCACGCACGCACGCACGCACGCAGGCACGCACGCAAGCAAGCAAGCAAGCAAGCAAGCAAGCAAGCAAGCAAGCAAGCAAGCAAGCAAGCAAGCAAGCAAGCAAGCAAGCAAGCACCACACACACACACACACGCGAATACACATACACATACACATACACATACACATACACATACACATGCACATGCACATACACATACACACACGCACACACGAGAATACACACACGCACCTCGTGGTGCAGCATTTGCTTGCGTTACAACCCTTCGCATTTCAATCCTCAACCTTTCACTTTCGCCGTTCAGCAAAAAAATACAAAGGACATGCTTCAGATCCGGTTCATTGAGCAACCTGCACACCTTGCCGAACAAGGTCTACACTTTCTTGGGGACTCAGCATCTCTGTTTTGCCGCAGGGGGCTCAGCGTATCTCAGCCGCCCAGCTCAAGAAGAAAGCCTAGGTGCTGGTCCCCATCTCCCAACGAGCCCCGGGGCTCGTCAGGGCCCATGTGGGCAGCAAACTATGAGCTGGGGACAGGTCTTGCCCTCCCAGTTGCCACCCAACTGCCCCGCCTGACATGGAGACCGCCGCCTACGCACGCCGCACAGCGGCTTCCCGTGTCACAGAAACTGGTCACCTCGGCCCCTTGGTGTTCAACCCACGTATAGGCTGCCATGGGTATAAGTTTAGGGGTTGATTCCCCATTCTTTTAAACCATCGTTCTTTGCAACAACCGGCTGTTTCCCCTGGGTTTTTGATGATTTCCTGAGAAGAAGGATCCCTGGAAAGAATGGGGGAGGTACCCCTAGAATAAGGGAACCTTTTCCCCGGATACCCCACTAACCACGGTGACATCAGCTACAATTGGTGAACTCCCCTGGCGGTTCCCGAAACTCCCCCCCTTCGAGTTGACGAGCTTGCAGCCTCTCTACGTCTCAACCAAACTTTGTTCTACGGTTTCCAGTTGCTTGTTCGCGCCGTGGCAAAAAATGAGAAAACATGTTCTTGAAAAGCAAACAGGGGAAAAATACAACATAGTCTGCAACGCAAATGAGAGAATCTCCTGATTTCGTGACCTTTGAGTGTGCTGGGCTGTGGCATTGGCTAATGCAAACCAAGCCATTGGACGGGTTCCCAGGCGAACGAGTTCATACTCTCGATATGATGAGGAAGCTGCGGGCAACTGTGCACGAGCTTTCCTGTACCTAGGTCCTCCAGTAAAAAGGTTAGAATAAGGGTACCTTTTTTTCTGTAGTCTACTTTAGTAGGGGAACCCTCCCCAACAAAAAGCGTAAAAGGGCACCGCTGGGGGACCTAGGTACCATCCCCTGGAGGTGGCAGTCTTGTGTTTTTGGTGCGTCCAGACACTTGCCGTGAAAGATCAAGAAGAAGTTGACTGGCCAATCCGAACAAATGAACAGGCAAAACACCACACGAAAAGGAGCAAGCACATCGACTTCATGCGCAAACATGGTCACCTGCAAGCTGAAGAGCTTTGGGAACGGTTCCTTGCATGTTACAGGCAATATGAGGCTCAAAAAGCCACAGCCAAAGTCCGGGCCTACCTGTGAAAGCTTGAGCCTGCCTTTGAGCAGCACGTGGCCTGATCTGGTCGCCTTTTCCTGCAGAACAGCCCCGGCGCCTAACAACGCCACCTCCATGCCTTCTGTCTGATGCCGACACATCATTACGATAGATATTTGCTTCAGCAACCTTCCAGGTCCGCCACAAGGGGCTGGCAATGCAAAGGCTCTTCGCTGCATGTTCGCAGGCCTCGCTCTCTCATTTTCGCGAGAAAGCTCCGCCTGCGCCTTGAAAAACCGGCCGCACTTGCCGCGCCGACACTGCCAATCATCCACAACACAAAGTCACAGGCACCCAGTCACTCGGTTGCCTGCTGCTTCCAAACTCGACGATTTACAGCTTGGCTAATCTCAGGCTTTTCCGCTGGCTGCAGAGCCTCAACCAGCGGGTTCTTAGATGTGGACATGGCCCCTAATGTTGACCCCGGATTAATGAACCCCTGGTTGATTAATAGGGGGGTGTCCCCTTTTAGTGGGGATTCAGGCCACTTTTGGAGGGAACACCCCCCTAATAATGGGACGGGTTCTACTTAGATCCTGGGTCAACATTACCAGAAACGGTTCTACTTGGTGAGTGGCCCCCATTCCTGAGAACCAGCAACCTGGAGGTCGAAAGCCCGAGACCGGAGGTCTTTCCTGCAGGCCTTCCATTTGGCAAAATGTAGGAAACGCTTGGCGGGGATCGCCGGTTTGTACATGGAACCCTCGTTTTTGAGCTCCTTCTGTAAAATGGAACCCTTTTCGGTTCCATTTGGAGGGATATCTCCTTTGAAAGGCGGCACGTGACGTCACGGCGTCAATGAACTACGCGGAAGCACCGAAACCTTCCCCTGAAAAAACGGGACCGGCCGTGATTTTGCCTCAAGTAAAACAAGCGTAGAAACCTGGGCTGTCCTCAGATCTGCTAAAAGTTTAATTTTTAGCAGGTTAAAATGGAAGCCCTAAACTTTGAAAACCAACAAAACACAAACCTAAGGAACCCGTCAGGATTCGCAGTGACCCGCGCGAGAAACTTCTCCCCCACCACGGTCCATCTCCAGCGAAAAGTCTAAAAGGCGGCCTTCCTCAGATGTCCAGCGGATTTCCACTGGGAAAAACGAATCGGCATCCTTTTTTGGGTTGGTTGAGTTGAAAGGAATCGGAACCCAAAACCCAAAACACAATTTGTAAAGGTTAATTGAGTTTAAAGGGGAACCCAAAACCCCTTCCAAAAAAGTTGAAAAAAGTTCACCGGTTGCAACTGGGCTTCAACTTGGGCAGGTCTCGGTGGCTCAGCTGCAGTTCGAGTCGCCCCGCGTTCTCCAAGCTCCTGCGAAGGGGACGTCATGGGGGCTGCGTTCTTCCATCCAAAAAAAGCAGACCCCCTGGACGTCCCGCCCAAGGAATTTGGGGTTCAATTGTTGAAAACCGAATGGGACGGAGAGGAATCCCAAATCAACACCTGTTCGGTGGAAACGGTCGCAAACATGGGATTTGGGCCTCCAAATTTGGTGTTCCTCCTTAGAAACCCTGAAAAAACAGCCGCAAAAGAGGCACCGCAAGTAAACCATTCAAATGGGGTTGTACTAAGCTAAGACTAAGCCACCCAAGTCAGATAAGTGCATCGCGGTGTGATTTTCTTCAGCCCCTCCAAACCCAACCAAACCATGATTAGAGTTCAGTTATAGAATCTATATTTTCTTGTTTGCTTCACATGGAGTCACTGGTAACAAGGTCTAAAAAATTGTCAAATGTGTCCTACGTCTACCCCAGAAACCCAGGTTACCCTGACTCGCCCACCCCCCCTCACCCCCCCGCGGCTCCTGGCTCCGAGCTGCAGCTCGCTCAGCAAGGCTCTGACCGACTTCTGCAGGTCCGAGCTGGCCCAGGGCTTGCGACTCTTGCCGTGGCCGGTGATCACCAGACAGCTGTAGACCTAATTGGACAAACAAACAGGCGGGGATACGGAGGGAGCGGGGATATGGGGGGGATTCCCTTGGGGCCATTTCCTATCAAACTTAGTCAAGGTGTATTTAGGGGAAATCCTCCCGTATCCCTGGTTCCCCCTGTATCCCTGCTAGTTGGCTTCCCTGATAAAGCTCACCAAAGGCCCACTAGGTCCTCCAGTAGAGAGGTTAGAATCAGGGTACCAACTTTTTTCTGCAGTCGATTTTAGATGGGGAAGCCTCCCAGCCAAAATGGGTAAAAAGGCACTACTGAGGGACCAAGCCCAAGAAGGGACCTGGAAATAAAAGGTGATCACCTTTTGGGACCTTGGCTAAAAAGACTTCGGCCAAATCAGGGAAGGTTCGCTTTGGGCAACTGAGAAGGGGAATCCGGAAACAAATCCCCGAACCAACCCACAGAAACCCGGAAAAGACGAGTCTGGACAAAAATGAGATCCCAAATGCCCAAAAGTCAGATCCCAAATTTGGTTGGATTTGGATTGGACTTGTCAGCCAAACCTCAAGTTGGTGGCTGTTCTTGGCAAAGAGGAAAACCAAACTGCCACCGAACCGGGAGGAAACACGAGCTCTGCGGGTCATCCCTTCAAGTCGGGCACTGAAAAAAATATCCATCTACCGCCCTTTGAAGCGTCCTTCCGAGAAAAACAAAAAGCTGCACCAGGGAAGGCGGTGTGCTGCTCAAGTAATTAGTATGAGAACTTGTTTAAACAAAAAACAAAACTGACTCATTCCTGGGCAGGCATCTTCGCGTCTTTCCAGCTCCCGGGCGACTTCTGTTGACAGCCACCGCCTGACCGCCAGCCGAGCCGCACCCTCTGAGAGACCGTGGAGGTCGATGAGGTCCGCACAACCCGGCGAGAAGAGCCCGATTCGCCGGGCCTGCTCGAAGACGGCAGGGCCCAAGCACTTGTCATGGAGGTGATCCAGCAAACAGTTGTAGCCTCAGAGTGGGAAAAGAGCCCCCCGGAAGGTTAGGATAGCATTTCGTGTGGGCAAGCTGCTAAAACACAAAACGAGAAGGTCATGGATTCCAGCAATCCAGCAATGCAAGTTGGGCTGCTGATGATGTTGGGGCGCACCTGTCTCACCGGCATGTCCTCAAATACGCTCATCGCCTGCTGCCACTGGCTGCCCTTGCCACAGGCGCTGATGACTGCGCTGAAGCACACTACGTCGGGGCTGATGCGTTGGCACATGGCATCAAACAAATCCAAACACTGCTGCCACAAATGGCCCTTCTCACATGCGCTCATGGCCGCGCTGAAGCAAATGCGGTCACGAGAAACCTGGAGCTCAGGCATGGACCGGAAAAGGCGAAGAGCCACCTGCCATTGCCAGCCCTTGTCGCAAGCGCTGATGACTGCACTGAAGCTGACAACATCGCTGCGAGTCTTTGCGGTCGGCATGGCCTCAAAAAGGTTCAGCGCATGCTGCCACTGACTGCCCTTTTCGCATGCGCTGATGATTGCATTGAAACTAATTCGGTCAGGATGCACCTTGGCTGCAGGCATTGCCCAAAACAGATCCAAAGCGTCTTGCCACTGCCCGCCCTTCTCACACGCGCTGATGGCCGCACTGAAGCTAAGCACGTTTGGATTTACCTTAGCCTCCGGCATATCACTGAAAAGGCCCAAGGCCTGCTGCCAATGCCCGCCCTTCTCGCAAGCACTGATGGTGGCACTGAAGCTGATCACATCCGGCCGAGCCTTTGCATCAGGCATGGCGTCGAACAGGACTAAGGCCTGCTGCCACTTTCCACCCCTTGCGCAGGCACTGATTGTTGAGTTGAAGCTAATGAGGTCGGGATTTACCTCTGCCTGTGGCATCTTCCCAAAAATATCCAAGGCCATCTTCCAGTGACCTCCTCTCTCACAAGCGCTGATTGCTGCATTGCACCCAAACACGTTTTGCGGCACGCGCGCTTCAGGCATGGCCTGGAGCAACCTTGGTGGAGACTGAACTTTTCTTGTGTGGTGGTGGGACGAGACACAAATCGGTTTGTGCGGAAGTATAGGAAGCCTTGAACAACATAAGGCGGGTGTTCTTCCCCCCCCAAGAAAAAAACACAAAAACTAGAAAGTACCCCCAATAAACACGCTCACATTTCCCCAACGCGTCAAACGTCAGCGATCTGACCAAATCGCACCCGAGCAACCCGCAGGCCCTTTGCCACTTGCGAAGCTTCGCGCAGCCGGAAAGCTCCGCCGTGAAGCTTCGCGCAGTGGGAAAAGCCATGAGTTGCGATCTGTTTCTTGACCCATCCAAAGCACCGACCGTGTCTGCTTTGAGGCGTTGAACCATGGACCACACAAAACAGGCGTTGTCAAAATGTTGATGTTTAGGTTATTAGTGGCTCTTTTCTCGTCATTGGCTGACCTACTCCAAAACAGGTTTGTGCTGACCCGGGTTGAAGGGTTGCGAAAGCAGGAGCCCCCGATCAACACTTGTTGGAGCTGGATAAATCAAAAGCCGAACGGCCAAAGGACCTTCCCCCCCCCCTCCGCCCCCCAAACAAAAAAAAAAGCGGACCCCCAATTCCTGTCGATCTCGACCTTTATATCGCTCAGATTCCTCTGGCTTCCCTAAAACCGATCGCCAAAACAGAAGTCCTCAAGTTTTGGGAAACGCCAACTACGTCACGTTCCCACGCTCAAAGAGCTGGGTGGACGGATCGATCCCTTGGCTAGGGCCTCGCCCATACCAAGCTCGGGAGCGGCGAGCTAATCTTACGATGGGAACATATTCATCTAATAGATTCTAGAATCTATTCACCGGGCGAACTTGAGAAAACCCATCCGCTAAATCTCAGGGAATGGTTTGGGAGCAAGCCATTTTCAGGGGCCCAACCAGATCTGCGGAAATTAACTGAAGCTAAAAAGTAGAAATAAGGAATCCACATGTCAGGAATACAATCATCGTGGGTGACCTTGTTTACCCAGCTGGTAGAACCTGTGACTGACCTGAAATAGCTTGGAGGGGTGTATTTCGGAACCCTCCTTGGCCTTGGCGTGTGTAAAGAGAGTCTATGTCAACTTCTTGGAATGTCTCAAAGATTGGGAGAGCCCGCAGACGACTTTGTGACATCGGCTTATGACACCGGTCAATCCCCAACTCCCTCGCCTCCACTCCGGGCAGAAGCTTCGGGCCTGATGTCCCATTTGCACTGCACAATTGCATGCTTGGTGGGTGTGTTCATGTGTGTGTGTTGGGTGTGTTTCCCTCTGAAACTACGAATGATGAAACAACATGAAAGCCACATTTGCCAGACATCATGCTCGATTCCAGAGCTGACATGGGCTTGCTCCTTTGACTTGCGCGGCGTTCAGGCGAATCTGCGTGGATTCGAATGAGTAGAGTTCAGGGATCCTGGAAGACCATTTTCCTGTTCTTTTCAAGAGATCCCCCTGTCAGGTTCCATAAAAATTGGTAGGTTATCTGTCCATGTACTGTAGAGCTTGCCCCCGTCTTCACCAGTTCATCTGTTGCACCACTCAAACTCCCGCTCTGAAGAAAACAAACGCCAAAAGAACGGGCCACCAATCCACCGCTCTCTGACAAGAACAGTCCCTCGAACAATGAGCAAAGCACAGTCAGAGCCATCAGTACCGCGTGTCTCATCTAGGATTTTGATCATGCCCTCACAATCTCGGGAGCCTGTTTGAGGTCCCCTCACCCCTTCTTAAGAAGATCAGTTTCTGCTTCCGACAAGGCTGCTCTTTTCTACTGTTGCCAGCGTGTGCATTATATACTGGTGGTGTTTCACGGGCAGAGAAGGTTTGTAGTTTGCCGGTTCTCCATCTTTTCGTGGATGCATCAACTTGACAAAAGCAAGCAGGGTGGAACATCGAACACGGAGATGCGTCCATTTTTAGGGGCTACGCATGCCAGGAAGTCAATTCTTGTCTGAAAGGACAAAATGCAGACATGCAGTGCTGATAGGGATGCCCCTGGGACGATTCTAGTCGGACCTTTACCATTCTGGAATCGCTAAAGTAGGTAAATAGATGTTCGATGGGTGAGAGGATCGGTGAATCCTTAGAGGTATGACACAACAAACATGCCATGCCAATTTCATGCATCTTGGCTAGAGTCGACCTCAGATTATATGGGTGTGTCTTCTTTCGGGTGGGATTGCGCCCAAAGAAACAAACCGCATACCAAAACCTCCAGTGGCGATGGGGTCAAAATGACACCTTTGCTTTGGTCATTGACTTCACACTGGAGCTTACTTGGGTGCTCTAGATCCCCCAGCAAAAAGTTAAACTTTTTGCTGGTTAAAAGGACATATGAGGGGAATCCCAAGAGTTAAAGTCTAGAGATCCAACCCAATAGCAGTAGAGGTTCGTTGGCCCAGAGCTGAACCCATCATCGGCCTTCTTCCTCGTGCTTGTGCTTCATCTTCTCAAGGACGTCATGAAGAAACCTCCCGCTCTTGCCGCTCTGGACATGTGGCTCCTTAACTAGTTCCTCCAGTAGAGAGGTTAGAATAAGGGTACCCGATGTTGTTTTTTCTGTAGTCTATTTTAGTAGGGGAAACCCCCCAAAAAAAGCAAGGGTAAAAGGGCACTGCTGGGGGACCTAGTTCAGCTCAACTCTCAGTGAAACTGAACACGAAGGAAGCGCAATGAAAACAGCAATGCACAGAACCACAAAGCAACCATCGAGCGCCAAGAACAGTGAGCTCAGGAGCGCTGGGGTTGAATTTTGGCCCAAGAAGGAAAGAAGAAAGGACAGCAACTCCGTTGGTAAATTCTAAGTTCTGAGGTTCATGGAGCTTAACTCCAGCATCCCCATGATTTTCATGCCCAAAGCCAACGGCTTTCAACAGTGATGTTCTTTCACCCCCAGCCCGTGGTTACTCTCAATCAACTTGAATTGTAAGAAAATGCAAGAGATGCACTTTTTATCTCTGTACTGTATAGGTTGTAGTGTCTGATTCCACTTTACTTGAGTCTAGCTTGACTTTATCCAGGCTTGGCTCTGGCTTGAATGCCAAATATTATTCGCAGCCTGCGTGGATGTCTGCATGCTCAAACTGTCATACATACGTAGGTGTTCGCATCTTTCTTGCGCGGCAAAAACGCGTCTTACAGCGGTGTTGACAACGCCGGGGATTGCTGCAAAACACAAAACCAGGGCACCCAAAACATGGTCGGCGTCCTTCTGGCATTTCTTTGAACTCCAAATGGAGGTCGGACCCATGTCCAACGTCAGGACCTCACAAAAGGCCAAAAGAGACAAACTACGCTCTGCTGTTGTTGCCATGCCAGTTGCACCTGACATCTCTCTCCTCTTTGCTGACTATTTGGCGACCAAAGGATGCCGATGCCAGATTTACAGTTGGGTGACAGCGGATGGCACAACTCCCCCATTTTGGCTTAGCCATCTCCAAAGTGAACTGTGCCATCTGCTGGCACCCTAGTGTACGACCAGCTGCAGTATGCCGAGCTCAAGAACAGGATGGTGAGACACGCAAACGAACCGACAACTCAGCCCATACAAAAAATAACCCACTCAAACCGACAGTCATTGACCCACATCTCTTCCAACGGAGCCGGGCAAGCCGCGTCCGCCACATTGGATCCGGGCACCCCGGCATCTTCTTCTCTCCGTGCACGTGATGCCAGCCGTGGTGGCCGTGGTGGCCGTGAGTGTTCACCCACTTCATGAGGTCTGGGCCCGGCGAAGTGAAGCAATGCAAGAGGAACCTCCGGAAGACCCCAACCGATCTTTTCACGGGCGACCAAATAGGTCTGAGACATCTAGTGCCTGAGTTCATACCGCATGCTGTCTTGCAACAAGACACTGCCCTCCCAAGCGGTGCCAATGTCTCACAAGGCATGTAAAGTTTGTGCAAACAAGATCAGTCCGAAAGCGAGGGATCCGATTGCACTCGAACATTGCCTGGTTGCTCGTGCTGGAGTTCTGCATTATTGTGGGTAGATGGTGCTACGCAGCAATAGACCACAGAGACAGTATTTGGAGCATCGGTAGTGGCCCAGGGCGTTTGCGCGGCTTGAAGTGTCCAAGGCATGGTGGCTGTTTCCTGTGTTCATATTTTCAAGATTCCAATGTGTTATTTGGGCATCCTGATGATGGGTTTCCGGAAAGAAACGGCTTTTCCAAGTTGGGAGTACGTAGCACTTGCAAATGCAGCCACAGCGTTGGAAGTGGGAATGCGCTTCGAATGGCCGGTCGATGTTTTTGCAGGATGTTGACTACCGCACAAGGCAACACTATGAAAGCCCACAACCACATGCACCCATCTTCTCTTATCTATGCAAGCAGCTAGGTGACAGCATTTGCCTCTGCACACCAGATATACTTGAGCATACATCACATATTCAGGAGGTATGGCATGTTGGGTTTCCGGACCGTGGCAGCCGTCCGACGCGTTGGGGTCGCTGCACCAGGCCACAGCCTCGGTTGATGGTTTCTTCAGCCTTTGGGACCCGCGGGCCAGTGGGAACCACTGAGAATGGCCACAAGTGACAATCAGCTGACCAAGATGGGTGTGGCTTCAAAATAACATGTCATTCCCGAAAAATGGCACCTACGGAAAAGACAAAAACCTGAGTAACCAGCCTCCCAAACAGGTCTGTCTTTTTGAGGCTACCCCTTGTTTTGTTGGTCTAAAGGGAAGCCAACGGGAAAACCACCTGGCACGGCTCCTTTCCCCGGCCGAAACGTTGGCCGAAACAGGGGGCCGAAACCGGGATCCCGGGCAGCCACCGCAGCCACCAGCGCGCCGATCACCATGCACACACCTGCGGACTGCTGTTTTTGTTTTGCACTCGGCACGTGGGTCCATGGGATTTGGGAACAAAGGCACCCAGTGGATCGCATGGCCCTAAAGAGTTGCCAGAGAAAACCACGTCAATGGGAGAGGTCACATGATATTCCCGAGGTCACAAGGGCCCCTAAAAAGACACTCGGGCTTGCCTCTTGGCCCCCGGACAAATAAACGATCTTACTTGCGATTTGCGGCACGAGGGGGTTGCATTCATGTTGCCACAGCGAAGGTCTTTAGGCTAACCTCGGAAGGCGCCTGAACACTGAGGAAGTCCTCCCACGGCCCTTTTCTGATTCACGGGGGCCCTTCCACATCTCCATTTGTTGGTTCCAAGAAGCATGGACCATGCAGCCCACACACACAAACAAACAAACAAACAAACAAAACAAAACAAACAAAACAAAACAATGCAAAACAAAACAAACAAACACCTCCATTGACGGGCGAAAAATCAGACCGCTGAAACCTGAAGCCAAGCTGATCCGAACTGAGCTGAGCACACAGCACGCCTGGCCGAAGTTCGAGGAAAGTCAAGTTCCTCCGATTTCAAGAGCCTCGTCTTGCTGCACTTTTGGGGGCTACAAGATGAAATTTCATGCCAAGGCAGTCCACCCAAGGCCCCAGGCAATTCACTTCTCATTTCAAGGGGACAAACGCCAGTGGGGCAACATGTTGCTTCTCCATCACAGGGATGCGCTGTCCTGGCTTGTGCTGTCAAGTAAGGGCTACTGAATGAAGTGCTTCGTTATGTCCTTGCCAGGCAATATGTCTTTTTGGATTTCGGCATCGCCCAAAAACCTCCTCTGATTCATTGGAACAGGTTTATCAAGCCGGAGCGCGCTCCGGCTCCAAACTTTGATTTATTGTCCAAGGCGGAATGTGGACGGGTCAGTTAGTTCATCTGTGGCCATGAGAAACAAGGAAACTTGGCTTGCCGACATGGCTCCCTTACAAATGTCAGACTTGAATCTTTAACTATGCACTCCATGGACCTGTCACATGGGTGTAGGAGTTTGGCCCAGTTGCCCGGTACACCGGCGCCATCCCCCGCAATTGATGTTGATGCTAGCTCCAACCACGGAGCTTCCAAAGACCGGACATGGGAAAGGCGAAAGGGCGGAGTGCTGTTCTGTCACCAGGGGTCTGAGAACCTCTCTGGGCGGAAAGCGACTCGTTGACCCCTCGCTCTCAGTGCAACTCCGCAACGAAGCTTCAACAGCAGCCCTCCCAATCCCACTTCCAAACCGGTTGATTTATGCAGGGTTGGGAGGAAAAATGTCAAATCCCCACCCCCTGGTACTTTCTCTTAGGCAGCATCAAACGTTGTGCAGAGCACGTTGGTCCTGGGCGTTTCCGGGCCTCAGGTAAAATCACACCTACTTGTAGCATTGCGCAAAGAGGTCGTGTGGTGATCAAGGTTCCCTTACAAGCAATTCAATATACTGTCTGAAAGCTCAAAAGCTTCACTATCCCCACTGGCTCTACCTCCAAGCAAGCAGGGCACTCTCACCGTGAGGCACTACGCACACGCTGGGGCCCTTTCCGGGGAACCCTGCGAGCGGCATCACCACGTCTCACAAAGAAAGGTTCCTGATCGTCTGATGGTTGGCCACTTCCCATGCCATGGTCAAACTGCCCTCAGCAGGCCTTCGTTGTGGAAACTGCCCACTTCTGTATCACTAAAACACCTTCCAAGTGACTAAGTCGTTTCCAAACTCAGTAGGTTATGACCCTACTTAGTAGATTCTGACCAGGCTTACAAGTGGAAGAAAAGGTGGGTTGACTTATAACCGTTGAGGCACAGTTCCTATGCCTCCATTTGCTCAAGGCCCCCAAAAAAGGGATACGCCCAGTGATAGTTTCCCTTTGAAACCAACTGATTTCTTTTAAAGAATGAACCGATGCACCTTCCTAAGCATTTGGAAGCTTGAACCTCCGAGCTTTTCAGAGTTCGGTCATCGGCCTGCAGTCACCACCGACGCACAGGCCGGCCCGAAGGAGCGGGGGCTCCGGCGCCGCTCCTGGAGCGGGCAGCCGCTGATGGCTCCCAAGAAAATTCCCCAAGAACCATCAGGATGATGGGTGTCCTTTGTGCGGGAATCCCAAGACAAAAACCAGCTCACTGATGGTTCCCTTTGTGCGGGAATCCCAAAACGGTTCGTTCCAACTCTCATTCCCTACTGAGCACCAGTGAGATAGGGTCGGTCTGTGTCGGTGTGTGTGTTTCTTGACGGTACCCCTTTTTTGGGGCTAGAAAGAGAAATTGAAGGGAGAACGTCACAGACGGGAACCCGAGTGAAAAATGGGAAGGGGGGGTCAGGTGCAACAGTTGGGTAAAGCATTTCGCATGCTGAAAGCTTTCGCCCACAAGCCAATGGACGTGTCAAGACTGCTCAATGTGAACCTACTGCCGATGCCCTGATGTGAATGCAAATGCACGGCGTGCATTTGCGTTTTCGTCCACTGGAGAAAATAGAAACAATTCCAGTAGTGAAATTGATTCCCTTCACAGCCAGCAGGGGAAAGTAAAGAATATGTTTAAGCAACTGGAAGACAGCAGGGTCAAAGCCGAATCTTGGCTTCACCTCTGTTCGAGGCCACAATCTGCTTAGAGCTTCAGGATGCCGAAGCACAGTCAACAAGCAGCTGCCTGCTCCGAGTGGCAAGGCAGTTGATATGCATTGCAAATGGTCCAAAAAAGCGGACGCCTACTCCTATGGTTGTCAAGGGTCCCAAATGGGGGCCCTAATAGCGACGAATAAGACCTATTTCGGCTAATAGGGCCCCTGTTTGGGGGGCCCCTTTAATTAAGAGGGGGACCTCTAACAACCATGGGGGCCTACCAATTTGAAGAATTATCAACACCTCATATCTGCATACGATCTCCTGCAAATAGCAACGGTGTCGTGGTGGTTTCCCTTGACAGTCAACCGACAAGCCCCGGCTAAATAGGCCGACGGAGAGACGATGAATCGTGGATGCCGGACCGAACTGCGGTGCTTCTTGCAAAAGCCAAACCCGTTCAAAGAACATGCACAGAGAATATGATGTTCAGATTATTGTTCATCTTTTAGTCGACCCTGAAAAAAAACAAAAAAAAAAAAAAACAGTTTTGGAGGAGACCCCACCAAGGATTGCAAACGCCTCCAGCTCTGAAGGTGCCCTGAGTCTATGGGACAAACACAGCACAACTGGCATTGCTCTCTACGCAAGTGTCGCAGGGCAGATGATGCGTTCAGTGACCCTGGTACTCGAATTGGAGCCCTTGACCATGGTAAAGCCACCGAACAAATCGGGCAAAGTCTGCAACAACCACAATATGGATGCTCTTGTTTGACCCGTCTTGGTAAAGCCGAACAAATCTGGAAAGGCTCCAACAACAAACATATGGATGCTCCTGTTTGACTTTTCGGCACACCCCAACCATGCGGACATTCGCTTGATTCCGACCTCCATAGGCTTGCAAAAGTAGTTCAGGGCAACGGCGCCCCAAATGCAGCAGGCGCACGGCAGGCCGCACTGGCCGAGATGGCGAAAGGCGAGAGGCGAAAGGAACGTCCCTCGGATCAAAAATCGAGACATTCGTTGTTTGGCTGGGGACCCGGGTGGGGTGAGTTGTACCGGCAAGGATGGGGTGAGTTGTACCGGCAAGGATGGATGCTTCGCTGACTGGCTTTGTGCTTCTTGTTCTTGTGCCCGGTTGTGGCGGCTTTGCTGTGCCAGCTGCAGTATTGGTTCCGCGGCCGGAGATGCTTATTTGCTCGGGCAAAAGGCCACCTTTATTCAGTGAATTGCAAGGATGTCCCATCCAACAAATGGAGAAAGATCCGGCCCACTTTCGGCAGTCGCCTCTCAACGTTAAGCCCATTGGCTAGAAGAGGTTCTCGTCACCAAACTTCTAACCGGCATCCCAACCATCCGAGGTCTCGTAGTTGGCTGCAAGCCCACCAGAAATTCCTCAATTCGTAAAGCCTACCGACACCCATCTCACCTTCGGATCTGCCCTGCCAAGCTGTTCAATTCAGTCCAGTTGCAAGCTTGGAGCAACTTGAATTGGAGGCGGCCAGGCTGACTTGCCTCCGCCCATGAGAAGTAGCTCTGCAGGCATGTCGGCTTCTCCCTAAAATCAGGCCACACACAAGGCGCGGGTCGCTTCCAAATCGAGTATGCGGTGGCCATAGCTCCGCTCCCCCTTGCATTCTCAGCAATCTGTTTTCAGGAATGGCCACCGAAGCCTCCGGAAGCTGGGTGGTAGTTCAATCAATGATGGGCGAAAAACGGGTTGAAATCAACAGCCGGGAGTGGCGTGGCGGGTGGCGTGGAGGGGCGTGGAGAGAGGGGAAAGGGGTGCGGAGGGGAGCGGAGGGGAGCGGAGTGGTGCGGAGGGGAGCGGAGAGAAGCGGATGGAGTGGATCGAAGTGGAGTAAGTGAGTGGGTGGGTGGGTGATGCGCGGATCACTCTTTTTTGGGGGATTTTGGGTGACGACTCTGCAAGCATCGTTACCGAAAGTTCGTTTCATGGTACGCTTTTCCATTCCGAGGGCCGAGACCTGGCTGAGCGAGAGTTCGGGCGGAAGTGCTGCCCCAATACCACGACGCGACCCAGGTCGGCTTCCCGGGTCCCGTCTCGGTTTCGTTGGGATCATGTCGTTCTTGCCGTCTTGTTTACGCGCTTGCCATTTTCACCCCGGGTGCTTTCAAAACATTGGCTTGGTTCTAAGGTCCCTTGAGCGCTCGGGGATCGTTTTAAAATAGGGAAAGTTTTAAAAGTGGTGGCTTACCTGGAATTTCTCCTTCAACCAACCCAAAAAGGTCCCAATGAAAAGACACTCCCCCTACATTGCCACTAATGGGTGGCTGCAACTGAAACAGAATATGGGTTTGTCTCAAAAGTATCTTTCGGTTTCTCTATACATATATATACACCAAAAAGTGTCTCAAACTGGTGCACCCCCTTTGGTGGGTCTTTACAATACAGGGAAACTTTGCAATACCACAAAACAAACCTCACAAAAACCACCACCTTGCACAAATTTACAGGGAACCCCCAAGGAAACAACCATGTTGGGACAGGAAAAACCATGGAAACCCAACAAAAAAAAAACAAAAAAGACAAAAACCAGGGAAATCAACAAAAACAACCATCTTGGGACAGGAAAAACCATGCAAACCCAAAACAAACCACAAAACAAACACAAAAACCAGGGAAACCCCACAAAAACCAAACCACCATCTTGGGACAGGAAAAACCGTGGAAACCCAACAAAAACCACAAACCAAACCCGTAAAAAACCAGGGAACCTCCACAAAAACAACCATCTTGGGACAGGGAAACCCCACCAAAACACCTTCCGGCCACGAAATGGGGAGAAACCCCAGCGTTGCGCTGGGAAGCCCGGACCACGAGGCACACCAGGAAGCTGGCGCCGAAGGCCGCCCAGGTCATCATGGCTTGCTGCCGGTCCGCCTGAGCTGTCTGCGGCTTCGTTTGCTGGTTGGAGGTGGTTCTTTGGGAGGTTTTTGTATGTTTTTGTTGGAGCGGTGTTTGGACCCACAGTCGTGTTTGTGGCTGTTTTCCGGTTTTTGTGCTTGCTGCTGTTTGGATGTTTGTGTTGGGGTCGTTTGTGAGTGCCGAGGGTTGTTCATTGTTTTTGTTTGAGGGTTTGTTTTGGGTGGTCTGTAGTTTTGGAGGGTTGTTGGACCCACAAACTGCTCGCTTGAAATGTCAAGGTAAAAGGTGCCATGTTTCAAACTCCCAAAATGTGGGTCATGGTTCTGTGGGTCCAAACAAGATTCTTTCTCAACTTCACTTAACTTGGAAAAGGAAGTGGAAACCTGATAATTTCCCTTACACCAAAGCAAAAGAGGATTGGCACGGAACCTTTGAGGGTTGCGGTACATACATGTACACACGGAACGCCAAACATGGGAACCGCAAAGGAGTTTCCTCTAAGAATGGGAGTTGTTAGGTTCCATGTCAACTTACAGGAGAGTATCCCAATGGTGAACAATATTGATAAACAGTAGGTTCAAGAATGTCTTGACAAAGGGGTTGAATATTTGGGCAAGAAAGCTCAGTGACACAAAAAAGAAGGGGTTCCTTGGCTTTCCCTTTTAACAAGCCAGAAAGGCTTCCCTCGAGAAAGAGACAATCTGGATATGAATTTTCTTGCTGGTTCTCAGCGGGGTGAGGGAGTGACCTCTTATAATCAACTATCCCTTCTGGTTTCCTTTAAGGGAACCCCCAGGCTCTACTGAGCACAAGCAAGTTTTCAATGTGGTCCAACCGGTTTCGAGGGTGCTCAATCAACATTGGTCCAGGTGAGTTTTGAGTCACAACGCGGAAACAGAGTTGGACACCTCCGCGGAAAGCTGACTGACAGGCCCTCGCATCTGGCGGAAACGAAGGGCAACCCACGGGAGAATGTGCAGGGTGCAAGCAAACCAAGGACACCCATGGTGAAGCGACTTTTGCAAGGGGAAGTGTTGAAAGGCGCCCTGCGTGAGAATGCATTTTCCAAGAAGCCACGAGGCAATGCTCAGCTAGGTTTGACATTCTGTGAACCGTGCGGCATCCAGGCAACATTGGAGCAAGTTCATCTGTCAGCGAGATCAGGTTCAAGGAAGATTCGGAAGCAACTGAAAGCAATGTTCAGCCAACATGCAAACTTCGGTCAGAGTTCTGGGCTTGCGACAAGGGCGTCGACTTGGACGGACGGAGGTTCCACTTTGGGACGGGCAGGGAAGCCGAAACCAACTTTGAGGCTGGCCTCTTGACCCCCTTCGAAGATACATTAAGGAACTCTGTGCAAGATCAAGTCTGGTCTTGAAAGGGGCGTGCTGATCCCCCGAACTTCTTTCCCGCAAGGGAGGTCTAAAAGGCAAGGTCTGCTGCGAACGTCAAGGATCTTGAAAACTCCCGTTGATTGCCAAGTGTCCCCGAACTCAGGATTCAATTCATGCCAAATCGCTACATATGGATGTGGGAGTACAGGAAATAGCTCATGCAGCAATGCATGCATAAGGTGAATCCACCCTCAGCGCCGACATTCAGATATAGACACGGACCATTAGCAAAACATCGAGTCAAACAGGCAAAGAAAAGCTGTGGCATAGTAGTTGCGTGGTCATAGTCCTCTCATAGACATGCTTACCATGGCTGTCTAGATGCCCTTGTCCTGTTTGCGCAAAGTCCCTAAGGGCTGATGAGCATCCTGTCAACCCCGCCTAGCAGGCAACTGCTCGACCTGGTCAAGCAAAACAAAACATACGCGCAGACAAAGAACAACATGACAAACAATTGTACCGCTACTTGTTGCTTCTTGCGTGCCATCAACAAGTGAGTGGTTGCACAATCAACCCAAAACAACTGCCTGGGGTTGCAAACAAGCTATGCTCCCAACGTGACATTAAGACCACCAAGAGAAATACAGATTCTTCTCCAAATGGAGGACACCCCGCCCAAACAAAACAGGGGCTGCTTCCCTTTGTCCCTTTGGCTTTCCTTTGCAAAAAACCACTGTCCCCCCTCCCCCGGCGCGGCCCAGAGGCCTCGTCGGCATTCACCACGGGCTGCGGAAGCAACACCTGCGCTCACGATGGAGCGAGCCCGCTCGTGTGTTGTGTCCCGTGGATCAAAAGGTCAAGGAGCCAAAGACGGACTGATTGAAGAGTACTTCCTTGCCCAGGGAATCCGGAAAGATTTGTTTTGTTTTAGCCACTCAAGCAAAGTCGGTTGAAACTAGCATGGTCGCCAAAGACATCAAGGTTGTTGCGGGATCCAGTCATCCCTTGCAGCCCTTGAAGTGATGCATCAAACCTTGGCAGGCAAAAGGAAATAGCAATGGTCCACCGTCCAGGCAGGGCCGCTGATGGGAACTAAAATGAGAAGAAAACTAAACAGAGCTCCACCCAAAAGTGAGCAAATTTGCCAAAAGGGTGACTGGCTGTTCTTTAAGTGAAACGGTGCAAAATTCAAAGATCCTTCTGCAAGAGCAGCAATCTGAGGACATGGTGTCTTGGAGACAAGCGGTTCTAACTGGCAAGTGCTTCGCTATGAAGAGCCAACTCAGCAACGGGGAATCCCATTTTTGCCGCCTTGGTGAGAATCGCCCATATCCTGGATTCCTGAGATGTTCTTGCTTTGCCCATTTGTTCATTTGCAGGATTTCTAACAGGGTACATGTTGGCCATGTGGAGAATCACAGATGACGTTCTTGTGGGACGGGAACAAATTTGAACTCGCAAAATGAATCGAGGAACAGCCAAGCCCCCAAAGGCCGAGCAAAACGGAAACTCTGGTCAGCAAGACATTGTAGTTGGACATATTGCATCACAGTTTTAGGCACATGGATGTTACTGGGGCGTGCCTCAGCAACACATGTTCACTGCAAAAATTGCCGACTGCTGACCCCTGACCTGAATTTTAGAACTTCGGTCTCTATTCTGTCGGCAAGGCAACCATGAACTCGTAGTACCTGTTCGAGTCGAAACCTCAGGACCTGTGAGATGTTCCCTGCAAAGCGAGCCGTGTATTCTGAAGGTCCTTGAGTCTCATCGTCACAAAAATCCGACTGACATTCATTTCACCAAGCTTACTGGGTCAAGACAAGAATGTTCAGTGGGCAATCGCAACCCAAACAAACTCCACCCTCCACTTGTATTCTTGGGAAAGGGGCAACTTCTTGTCAGAAAGGAACAAACATAGTCAGGATCCCCGAGCCCCTTAAAAGCATTCATGTCTGCTTGTGAGGTTGCTCCCCGGCAAAATAACATGAACCCCCCAAAAAGAAGAGTTCCCCCAAAAGAGACGATGCCTCCATTGCAAACATGCTGGCTTTTTCGTCCAACTCGCGACAGCGTGTCGCCTCCCGCGCTTGCGCAAGGCTATCGGTTGCCACTGGTGCTGCAGGTACTGCAGATACCGCAGGTGCGGCCACCACTTCTGGCCGGGCCGCAAAAAAAAAGGCATCCTGGGCCCCGTTTTCCTGAGCCTGCGGGTGTGCCTTTGCGTTCATGTTTTTATCGCGCTAAAACGGAAACCCGAAACGGAAACCAGCCATTTTGGAAGTCCACCATTTTGAAACGAAACCGTGTACTTCCAACCCTTTTTGAGCCCGTACATCCTTCTACCTGTACCACAGGTGTCCAGTGGTTGCTAAGTTGCTACATGGTCACCAAGGGCCTGACTTAGGGAAGAACGGAGGACAGGCCTCTCAAGCTGCATCAACCAGGAGTCACTGACACGAAGAAAGGCACCAAATGGAAAGAAGGGATCTGCTTGTTCCAGCTGATCAACTGAGGGGCAAGGCTTCGGTAGGGCCAAACTGAAGTTCCAGACCCCCCCCCAAGTTCGCGAACATTGGGTCTGGTATACCGTGAAATGTTGAAAGCAGCCCAACAAGAAGAGAGGCAGTGTCTGGCAAACAAGTTCTGCCGCAAGTCGTTTTCACCCAAGACTTGGTGGTTCTCAGAAAGGAATCAAGAAGGGCTTTTGGAATAAACCCGGGGGGATCCCGTGAACATCAATTATACTCCCACAAAAATGGCACCTGACAGAGGCTCCAAGAGAAAGATCTAGATACTCTCCCACAGGTGCCTTCTGTTAGTGGAAGGGAGGGTAGCAAGAAAAGCACCTGAGAGGGAGTGCCTAGACCATGTTCCTCTTGGACCCTCTGTCAGGTGCCATGTTAGCCAAGACAAGACGAAGATCATTTTCCCCGCGTTGCTTGTGAGCCTAGACGTGCCACGGGCAAAAAACGCTTCGCGGACGCCTGGAGCAGGCACTGACACAGTGAGCACTGCTCCAGGCTGCACCGTCTCCTGTAGCGAGCATCTGGGTCCGAAATCCGCCCGTGGGTTCAAGTAGCAAATGGGTCGGTCTTATTTGGAAAGAAAACCCTTTGGGTAAGGTATTTAAAGGAAAGCCCAAAGGAACACCACCACCAAAAAGACACACCCATATGGGTGTGTCCTAAAAAGGGTACTCCCAAAAAAGGTGGTTGATCTTGTCCTGTCGCTTCAAACCCATCCAAGCACGGTTTCTGAATTTTCAGACAGGCTCACGTGAAAGCGTCGGGCATCAACATCTCTGCTAAACTTAAGACACACCCATATGGGGCTGTCTTCTCTTTTTCATTGGACCCACCTCCCAACACAAAACGGTGGCTTTCCTTTTGGTGTCCCTTTAAAACCACCCCGAAAAAAAGAGAGCGCTTCGGCCCCCCCAACAAAAACACACACACACACAAGCCAAAACGGGGTGCCCACAAAAAGATGTCCCCCAACAAAAAACAAAGTTGTTGTCCTTTTGGTGTCCCTTCAAAAAACAGGGTTCCGAAACAAAAAAACACACACACCAAAAAACAAAGAAGTGGCTTTCCTTTTGGTTTCCCTTTGAAACCAAAAACCAACAGGGGCTTCCCCAAAAAAATCATTCAAAAGCACAACAATAAAAGGGCTTCCCCCCCCCCAAAAAAAAAGGGAGAGACCCCAATCTGCTCATCAATCAAACATGCTCTTGGCGCTGGGTTTGGTCAGGTGGAAGCGGAATGGCCCAAGCCTTGGCTTTCTCTACGCTTTCGTATGGACACTTGGGAAAGCCCATGCGAAACCACGGGGAAATCCTAAAATCCAGATGAAACCCATGTGGGGGTTCATCAATATTCCCTTCAATAATGACCCAAAGGCTTGATTCAAGATAAGACTCATGTTAACGCAATTATATACTTTGATTCACCATCATCAATCAAGAATTCCTCAGGCAAAAAAAAGGCAGCCTCATGTTCGAATACGTGTACCAACTCCCAAAAGAAGCGACAAAAAAGAATCAATACGCAAATGATCTCTCCTCCTTCCCAAGTGAAAAGCCAATGAACTTGTTGCTGCCCGGTTTGGATCACAGAATCTTGACGAAGGTTCCCCTATGGAATGACTTCTTTCAGGTCTCATGGGTTGGCTCATATTCACCCCTGGTGGAGATAGGGCCGTAACTCATGGAAGACCAGATCCGGATCATTGGGGGGAGTTTCACTGGCGTCAAACCTGGCACTACAAGTCCTGTACGGAGGTCGTCACACGCTGGCCTAGGCATGACATGAAAGGCGCACAGGCGTGTCCTAACATTGGATTTGAGGAGCCTTGCAAACACCAAAGGGACATCAAGCTCCCTGCGTCTGGGCGCTGGAAACTTGCCAACCTGAGTCAAATGCCACTCCAAAAGCAATCAACCCGGGTTCATTGAACGTCTGGTTGATGGATAGGTCGGGCGTCGCGTCGGGTGTCCCATTGATCGTGTTTACAGCGGGCCTTATCTGTCAGGGGAAACAACCCCTGCTAATCATCCGCCAGATTGACTCATGTGAGCCAACAACTACTGTAATGGCCTAAACGAACAACAGAGGGTTGCGGGGTGCCTTGCCTTAAGACCAGCAAACTGTTGCTACTTACTTCCCCCCCTTTACAACTCCCCATCTCTTTTCCAGCTTTTGCCCCCAGCCAGGGGTGCTGGTGTTTGAGTCTATCCATGTTTACTAACCTCAAAGTCTCAGAAACGGGCACACTGGGGCCAGGGTTGGTTGAGCCGTCCCCTTGGTGTACCCTGTTTAAAGCAGTATTGCTTCAATGACAACTGACATCCCCCCCCCCACGACAACATGGCTGGCTTTCTCTCGCTTTGCCTTTTCAACCCCATCCAAAAGGCATCCAAGTAAACCCATGGTCCCAAAATCATTGTCGGACCATGAAGAAGACAACTAGCCAAGGGCACGCCCATATCAAAGCCTGGTGCTAAAGGAGTCCAGCCAAAGCCCATGCTAGAAAACCAATTTCGTGGAGAACATTCCGCACTTGGTACATCTGTGCAAGGCTCGGAGCAGTGATGAAAAGATGTCAAAAGACAACCCCTTCCGGTGGGTGACCTAAATATAGAAGGCAGGGGGACAAAGGAACCGCATGCTTTTGTAAAAATATTGTTGTTTTCAGGTGGGTTGAGAGGGCTGAACGTACCTAATTCAGGCAGGTATTCAGTGTCAACACATGGACTTGGACCGCAACAATAGGTTTCGGTGTTCTGTTTGCTTTCCCTCAACTCTCCCAACCACCCATCCTCAACGGAAACTTACAACTGGGCGTCCTTTTAGACCACTCATGTGCTTGCTTCACTTGCCGTATATTTCGCCACTTCCACTCGACTCCAACCGACAGGGTGACGTGACCGCTTGGGCCAGTGGGCCGTTGGGCATGGTGAAGTTGATCTGCTGCCCCGCAGTGGCACCGCTCGGGATGGCCACCTTCCCCGATCCGGCCTCCCAACCCCTCTGATTCATGTGTTCAAACTGGGGACTACATATGGGCGGCTTCAGACCGGTCTCTATTTACAGGGTAATGGGCAGGGAAAAATTGGCCTTCGGAGGGAAACCAAAAGAAACCATTTGCCAATTCTCTGCCCTTGGGGTTCGGTCCTCTTCTAAAAGCTTGGAACAACCCTGTAACCTGCAGTTCTCTGCGGATTGCCACAAGTGACTCGCCTTCGTTTGCTGAGGCATGGTGTCTTGCTCTCCAAGTTTAAGAAATTGTGAAGTCACAATACATTCTTCCTTGCTTCATGGGTGGTGCCCCATTTCCCTTGATTCTTAATCAAAGCAAGTTCACAAGGAACTTCCGTGGTCACACTGGATGAAAGCTAGCTTTGGGACAGAAGGCAAGAAAATAATAAGCACGCACGAGAATCCGTGCGTTATTGCGGGATTCAATATTAGTTCGCCAGGCAAGTGTAGCCCTTTCGCACAGCACTTTCAGAAGGTCAGGTGCAGACTTCGTGGTATCCGCAGCACTGTCGCAAGGTCAAGTGCAGATTTTGTGGCAGGCGCAGCACATTCGCAAGGTGAGGTGCAGGTTTTGGTGGCAGGCAGAGCAGTTTTGCTGTGAGAAAAAGAGAAAGAGGAGAAAGAGAAAGGAGAAAGAGAAAGAGGAGAAAGAGAAACGAGAAAGAGAAACGAAAGAGACAGAAGAGAGAGAAAACAAAACAAAAACAAAAACACATGAAACAAATCCGAAGAGAGAGAGAGAGAGAGAGAGAAAGAGAGAGAGAGAGAGAGAGAGAGGGAGAGGGAGAGGGAGAGGGAGAGGGAGAGGGAGAGGGAGGGAATGGGAAAGAGAAAGAACAAGGGAAAGCGAAACATAATACAAACTATAATTCCTACATATTGAAACTTCTGCTGCCCCCGCGGCTTCGTTGGCTCTGCTGGTAATATGAACGCATAATATCGCCCATTTGTGCCATAGGTTTGCTTGGAAGCTGGCCAAAAACTGCAGGCCTTCAGAGGCATTCCCTTTGAAGACAGAAATGGCTCTTGGGGCAAAGGTTGTAGTCTCCCTTGTGGTTTCACTGCCCAGGCAAGGTTCGATTTGCCCAGCGCTGCGGTTTTTACATCACCTCAGTTCCCCCGTTAGGGACCTAGAACTAAAAGGTGATCACCTTTTGGGGCCATGAATCATGAGTAAAACGGGAAAACCAAAGGGCTTTTCCATTTCGATTCGCTTTGAACTGAGATCATCCCAACCAGTTCAGGGCCTTGCCTTCACGAGTGAGGCCGGCTGGCCCAAGACCTCCGCGTGCATGACCTCAGGCAAACGGCGGGCGCGCTTTCGAGAAAAGAAGAAGAAGAAGAAGAAGAAGAAAAAAAAACGCTTGGTTCGGAGTAGGCCTCCCTACTCCAACCTGGAACCTGAAAGAGAGAGAGAGAGAGGGGAGAGAAAGGGGCCTTGGAGGAAGATGAACCGAACAAGGATCCCAGTCAGGATTTATGAATGATGATACCCCACTGTGGTTTGGAGTGGTTGTTAGACGCCATTTGCTGTCAAGAGGAACGGGGGGTTCGACTTCCCCAACCAGACATCTTACCACCGGTGGAGGTCACCGATTGCATTCTCACTCCCTGAGGGAATAGTCTGGAGGAAATAGTCTGAAGATGCGTTTCTTCGCTGAGCCGGTCTTCCCAAAACAGCAAATCTAGAAACTGACTTCAAATCTTCCCGAGGATCGGTCCTTCAGGTCTCTCGTTTCCGTGGAAGGAACCCTCAAGCCAGGAAATGTCCAAGCAAGCCCGGCTGGCTCTTCCAAGACATGGTCCTCTGAACACCCTTCAAACCATTGGCCCGGGTGATTGCAGCCCTTTGCAGACCTGGGAATTGGTGTCCTCGTGTTCAGTTGAAGTTGCATGCTGGCTCCGCTTACTTCCCATTGCAAGCTTGCAGTGTCATGGGCGATCAAACAGACTATTGCAGGTGGAATATGCAACATGTGGGTGTGGCTGCTTTGAGGGTACCCTTTTTGGGATCGTTTCAAAGGGAATCGCAAAGGGGACCTCGTCTTCTCCATGGGGAGGGGGGGTCGTTGAACTGGAACATGTCCCCGTTGTTGCCAACTTGGCAACGCGATCTTCAGCTCTATTCCCGAAGGGCGACCAAATCAGCGGTTGGAAAGAGCAACAAGAAGCTGGGTGGGAAAATTGAGCAGAGGGGCGTCTACATGCGGCCCACAACATGGCCAAGAACTTGCATCCAAAGCGCATAGGCTGACGTACATTGGCTGTACCATGTGCATTTGCGTGTATCGAAATTCCAGAGTTGAACAAGGGCCAATCATTGTCAGTCGGCCCCTTTTCATCAGCACCCAAAAGATAGTGCCAAGCACAAAGTCTATTCCGAACAAACGCGTAGCCCCGGCCCAGCCTGAGAGGGAGATCCTGAGCGGGCAAGGCTGATCTGCGCCTATCCGAGTGACCTGAGGTAAGGATACCAGAACGCGGTCAACGTTCAACCCCCAACGTAGGTTTCGAATACGTTCTGCCATCTGCTGTTTCTTCAGCCAAGGGGGCAAACACGTAAGATTGTACCAAGCGCATCAACTTGTAAACTGGAAAGATCATCAAAAGTGCCTACCCAAAGATGGAAAGTCTGGTTCCTCAGAAAGCGGCAGCAAACAACGTTTTGTCGTTGTGCGATCGGGTCGCCATGTCGCAAAAGCCTCGGCTTTGTTCCAGCAAGATGTAGGCAGAAATCAAGAATACATCCACCCCTTCCCCTTCGCCCTAAGTTGAGACGAGTAGTGATCCTTCTCTGAAAATGTGCCATCTCCTTGCTGCGTGGAAAGGCGGTGTCAAAACTAAGACCCCATGGTCAGTCCACTTTGTAGGGCAAGAGAGGCCCCTGATTTGCAAGGCTTCTTTTTGGTTCAAGCGCGAGGCGGGATATACGTACATTGAGGCAATTGACAATGGTCATCAGCTCAAAATTCCTATTGACTGGCAAGGACGTATGGTGCAAACCCGACCTAGACCCGGTTAGCTAGAGAGACATTTGCGAGTGGGTCAAGCCACACGTTGCTTCGACATGTGTAAACCTTTCTGTGAGTCGTGGCAGAGTCATCTCCGAACACTCCAAGACACTTCTGAAGTCTGGGCGCCGTGACCCGGGCAACAGGAAGTTTGTGTGCCATGCTCAACCCAAAGTCGAGTGAGAGAAACTGGAATTCTTGCAAATCGTTGCTGTCACATCTGCGTCGCAGGGGGACCTCCAAAAGGACGACTTTCTTTGGCTTCCCTGTACACAAACCCCAAACAGGGTACCTCGCAAAATAAACACACATACACAAACACACGTATACTGGAGAGAGTCGAAGTTCGCAGAATACACCAGTATGAGGTGCTTGTCAAACTCACTTTCCAGGCCTCCAAATGGTTGCGCAACGTTCCCCCTCACTGCCCCGGACGCGTGGCAGCCCAGGGTTTCAACCCCGTTCCGACCAGGCCTGGGAAGATTTCCGTTGAAAAATGTGCGAGAAAAAAGCGACACTCGTTTTGATTGGTTGCCATTCTGGAAGCCCGCCTGAAAGAGGGAGATCAGTTGCAACAGCCAGGCCCCCGGCCTTCCGGCATTTCCAAGGCCTCGGCGCAACGGACCGGCAAACCATGGACCCCGCGTTCGCCCTGGGATCGTTCGCACATCAAGCTGATGGCTCACAGCCATCCTGAGGCCTAGAGCCATTCTACATGTGACGGGCTGAGCCTTGCGCAGGGCCTTGTCCATCAAGCATTGCATTCGCCACATCTAGTGCTGGATTCGGCCTTTCTCTGAATAACGGCACTGCCACCCCCACATTGTGTCCCATGACGGCGAAACTTGTTTTTGAAACCAAGAGCAACCACTGGAAATGGAATCTCGCCTGTACAAGAGCGGGAAAAGGACTTCTTGTTTGCAAACAGGTTTCTCTGCTTTGGTCACAGCGGGACATAATCCTTTTATATAAACATAGCCTTGCTCCACCGACGACATGCCAGAAGCCTTTCGGGATCGGTGTTTCAGGGAAACCCACATGATTCACCGTCCATTCGATGGGGTCCCGACCTTGCGCTGACAAAGACACAGAAAGAAGCCATTAACGCGGAAAGTACATACCATATGAGCAAAAGAGCTGATCTACTGCAACATAACCCACTGCAAGGCCAAACAAATTACAATGGCACCATAGTAGAAAAGCGTTCGCAGGCAAGTACATGTGTATATATATATATTTACACATGTGCATATATACATATATATATATATATATATGTGGCCTGTCCTCATATCCCCTACCAAAAGTTTAACTTTTGGTTACCACGAACTTACTCACTAAACCAACTAAAAACCTCGAAAAGCCTGAGGAATCGACCGATTCGCTGGGAACCGCCGTAAGATATATTTATATATATATGCACATTTCGCCTTTGATTGATGCCTTCGTGACCGGGTTCCTTCACAGACGTTGGGAAGAGGTGTTGGTTGCTATCCATATCAAGAAGAGAACGCCTGAATGCTGGGTGAGTCGTAAGAAAACACCAGCAACAAGGGCTTCCGATGAAACGGGCCTTCATCATGGGTGAGCTAAGGCCAAGCAGAACCCTTGAGGTCACTACAGGCTCCCCCAATCGAGGTCTGTTGAAAACGCCCTAACTATCGCAAAGGGATGATGAAGGCTGGTCTGCATAAAAGTTGTTTACTTTTTGTCAGTTGGCGAGAAAACACACATGACCCCGAAAAGTTAAAGGATACACATCCAACGAAATCGCAGCCAAGTCTACTAGGACATTTTCTGACAAACCTCAGCTTGAAAGGGGCAGCCCGTTTGAAAGTGGCCATGCCCACCCGTCCGCCTGTAGCACAAAGGCACCACGTCAGACAAATTCGCAGTAGCTCTGAGCCGCGGGAAGAGCATGGGTTGGTCTCATGGGAGCCCCCCTCGTTTGGGTGTTTGAGAAACGAGGAAAGCAACCTGAGTCATAATCAAAACCCGGTATCAAAACGGTCTACCCAGCTCCCTGTAAAGAATTAAGAAGGCGGCCGCAGCTATTTATGGTTGGAATTGTTGGGATTGTCCCTTACTAACCCTCATCTACCCGGGTTTTGATTGTGGCTCACCTTGTGATTTTTGAGGGCCCCGTTCTTTTCCCTGGTTCGTGGATGGAACAACAAGAAGCCAAGTGGAAGCGCTGATTTCAAGCATGAGTGTGCCGCCGGACCTGTAGGGATGAAACCTACGCGCTTCCCAACATTGGAACCGTTTTGAACGATTTTGATGGCAGCCGCACGTTGAAACCGACCATTGGGGGGCACCCTTCTTATGGACACACCGAAAAGCAAGCTCGATACCCCTCGTAACTCAGCAGCTTGTCCACTCAAGCCTGCAAGGGTCCGTATGGTTTCTTTGGTTTCAGCTTAGCCTTCCGCCCCACCAGGCACCCCTTTTGGTTTTGACACTGTTCCAACGTTCACCCTGAAACTGGGTGTTCTAAGAGAATCCGGACCCCTAGTTCAAGAAGCCCCCCCGCCCGAATCCCCCTTTGCAGAAAACAATTGAGCGATTGCGTGAGAGTGCAAAGACCACAATTTGAAGGGTCCAAAATGTGATGTTGACGACTTTGACCCACCCCCCAAATTCGAATGCAAGCAATCTTCCACCGGCGCTCCCTTTTGCCAGATGCTGTTAACACAGGCCTGGCAACTCGGTTAAATCCCTGGCACGGACGCTCGGCAGGTGGCCGCGGGGGGAGTTCAAACAAGAAAAGCTCGCCTGCGAGTAGGGCTTGCTCACCTCCAGCAAGAAAGACTTACAAACAAGCTTAGCCTGAGGGAACCAAGACCTTTCATGAAAAGCCGGAAAACGGCAAGTCAAAGCGCTGGTGTTCTAGGCAGATGCCGAAACACATCACCGCACCCGAGGCCATCCTGCTCCGCGCGTGGAGTAAATGGTCCTTTTGCAAGGCTTGACACCCAGCGCTGTGCCGGGTCGCGCTGTACTCCTCGCCAGGACCCTGCCGAAAGTGCAAGGACTCCGCCACGTTGGTCGCTCGCGCAGTCGATGGGCCAAATGGAATCCCAGTTTCCAGTTTCCAGCTCTCTGGAAAGCCATTAAAACAGAAAGAATGGGAACAGGGAATAGGCCACTGATTTGCTCCGCACTAGGTCTGTGCATGCCACCACAAATCCAGGCAGAATGGAGGCAAACCCAGCACAGATAGCTTGACTTGTTTGAGGCATCGAGAAGGCAGGGCGTCCGACGCACACGAAGTCACTGAATACTTTGATTGATTCATCTGTGATTCAGCGGATGTGGAAGCTGTCTTGCTTGCTTGGAGGCCTTTGCTGAACCAGGGCGCGAGATTCATGCTAGCCTTTGCTGGCAAGCTTGTCATCGTGCTGCTGTGGGCATGTTGGAGCACCTGGCCGTTAAACTGCCGGTTCTCTTCGAAGACGTTACGTATTTGGCAAGTCACGGCCGTCATCTGAGTATGATATCTGATTGGAGACACGTGGAGTTTGGTCCACGTGCACCAACCAATTGATCATGAGAACCACCTCAGAATAATCAAATCAAAGACAGCAATACTAAAGTTAATATCATTGCGAATGATGGATGCCTCAGGAAGCGCAAACCAATCACGATCCCAACCCCGCTTTCAAAAAGTAGACGACGGCCTCACACGTGCTTTCCGGTCGAAGGGACGAGTGCCAGTGAACGAGGCGCACGGATGGACAGACTACAGGAACAATTATGGCGTCTGCGCAAGCCCCCTGGCAATATCACGCGCACTGCTAACTTGCACAGAAATAAGGCGTCCATGATTCAAGCTTTACCTCCGTCCGCGAAGACTACTTTGTTTTTCACAGAACTCAGGCTCAAGCACTGAGACTATTTTCGTGGTGGTAGCTTCTGCTCAGCTCAAGCATGAACCCCGGCGCCCAACTCTGAAAGCCGATTCTTGCCAAAGTGTCAGATCCTGGGGCTATAAGCAGGTGCTGTTTTGTTTTACTTATGGTCCTGCCAGCGAGCAAACCAAAAATCAAAAATTAACCTAATGCAACCTGTTTACCAGGACGCACGCGTCTGTCTGTTGACTAAATCAATACTAAGTGTCATTTCCCATGAGGGACGCCTTCGCTTTGGGGCCCGGGGTAAGCTTTCCCCTTAATTCGCAAGTAGTGTAGGGGTCGACATGGAGTGTTCTTCCAAGCGTTTAGGCCAACGTGGCGGCCGCACGGGGCAAATGAATTCCGCGCCAGGTCTTCAAAACTCACCGCATGAGCGCGTCCGCCACCTGCTGAAGGTCCCCGTGGAAGGCCTGCGTAATCGGCAAACGGCACAGACCATGCGTTTGGCTCCGGCTCCAGACAAAAAGAACTGCCTGCCAGCGCTTTGAAGACAGTGTTTGGCTACCACCGAACTCCATCACCAAGGCGACCATTTCGCCAAGACTTTTTTTTATTAAAAAAAAATAAGGGCGCGCTTTCTGTGAAGCCCTCCAAGTTTTCAGGGTGTGTTTTGAAAAACCATCTCAGCGTGCGATGTCCGCACCTCCAGAAGCCGCACAATTTGTGCCTCCTCCACCTCGAGGCCCAATGCCTTGGAGAAAACAAAGAGTTCAGAGGGCCAAGGCCATGATTCAGACCATTTCTTCATGTGGCCCCGCTGAACATCCCAATCCAACCACTCAAATAGGTTCTAAAATGGGTGGTGAATTCACCTACCCCAAAATGGTACCATTGCTTTTGACCCACAGCCATGTGGGTGGACGAAATCCTCTTAGGCACCACGTTCAGAAACCCGGGTGTCTGATGATTCCCCCTGCAAATACCAACAACCGTTATGGTTTCAACTATGCTTTCAAAGTGGTGCAAAATGGATTTCGTCCAGCCACAGCACGTCTCAAAATAGGATTCGAACCCCTTTTTGGATTGTTCTAAAAGGAAACCGCCTACCTGGGGTCCCCAAATTCGAGAAACACCCATACACACTGTTGTTCAAAACATGGATTGTTGTTTCACAAAAAGGCGTTAATACCGTGGTTTAAATCAAAGAAGTATTTTATAGCTTGCTTATCAACACCCCCCTTCGGACCCCCCCTTTGCTGGGTGATTCCAGTAGCTAAACAAAAGATTGCATGGTTCATGTTTTTTGGACACATTTAGCCTCAATTAACTTCATTTAGCCTTATTTCGCCTTATTTTGCCTCATTTAGCCTCATTTAGTCTCGGACTTGGTTGCAGCGGGGTGTGAAGAGGGAACTCCACAAGAAACCTATGAACGATGGCAGTTGATGGAACAAGGAATTTTGGACAACTGGCGTATGCTGTCAGTCATTCAACATCACTCAACGCTAAAGATGATTTTCTTCTGGAACGGACATCTCTTAAAGGTTGGTCCTTTTTGGTTTCCCTTTCTAACGGCCAGTCACTCAGATTTGATGCTGCCGACGATGCCTCTCAAGTTGTTTTCTCTGTCTTGTTTTTGCCAGCCATGAAACGCCCAGCGGAGACTTGCGAAGTGCGCATTTTACAGATTGGCCCCGATGCTGGCAAGGATGCTCATGTCCTTGTCAGGGGAGGGGACCAGCCATGCCAATGGATCCTATCGACACTGGCTGTCAACTGTTTTCGGTGTGGCTCAGCAAAGAAGGCCAGTTGCAAAATGCATTCTGCCTACAATGGAATCGTTGACTTTCATCATCAGCTTTTTCCTGGCATCGCGGTTCCTGCAATCGAATCCTGTGAGACCTTGCACATCATCAAAGATGAAACAGATCGCAAGGCCAGGGGATTCCCAAGCGCGGTTTGCACAAGCCTGATGATGGCGTATTTCACCAAGATGATCAGTTTCAATGCTCGTGCATCAGACCTTCGGTTCAGATCCGCGAATTTCTTGCAAGCACTGATTGAGGCAGCTTGCAGTTTGAAAGAGGGCTGGCCTATCATGGTTTTGCATTTCGATGACAACCTGGAGCATTTTCAGTGGTTTTCGCAGTCTCTCCAATCCCCCACCGATGCGTTTCTTTTCACCAAGCAATTCCATGACAAACACATTCAAGTGCTTTGGACCTTTGACCTACAGGATGTGAAGAAGCCGTGGGTGAAGACCCCATCATCCCGCCCGCACTTATGTGACTTCATTTGCTGGTGTTTGGACCACCCCAAGGATGTTCGAAAATCACAAGAGCACTATAGGCTGAAGCAACAATTGGCTAAGGGAGCTCTTTCCTTGCTGGCTCAACTTGCAGAATTTTGGGACCAACACGCTTTTCGAATGACCAAGCCCTTCAAGATCATACAGAAAAGGCCAAAGAAGACACGGCTGCCGACTGCTTACGTTTGGAGCGTGGTGAGCCAAGCTTTCCGCCAAGTTGCGGAAGGGACAGAGTCTTGGCTGCTTTTGGCTTTTACCCTTTCACATACATTGCGTGTTGCTTTGAAACTTGTTCAAGGGAACCAACATGTTAATCATGCATGTTGCTATGAAACTTCAAGGGAACCAACATTTTAATCAGGCATGTTGCTATGAAGCTTCAAGGGAATCAACACGGTCATCATGCATGTTGCTAGGAAACTGCTTCAAGGGAATCAATCAACCTGTTAGTCAAGCATTGAGGAAAGATGGATTGGAAATGCGCTGAAGAATTTGGGGTCCACAACGATCTCGGTAACGTCGGCTTCGTTCCGAGCTTGCGCCCCTTTCTTGCACCTAGTGCCCCGCTTGCTTTACCCCTTTCAAAGGAGACATTGCGTGGGATCAGGTTGTCTACATCTGCCGCTCCAGAACAGAGATGGCGGGTGAAAAGCACTTGCGAGCAGGATCCTCAATGAGCACCAATCATCCATAAATCAACTTGACCTTTTGGTGTTTCTTAGGATCCCGCTGCGCCCGTCTCTCAGGTGATGTTCGACGGATCGGACTCTGCAGGAGTACCTATCGAGCTGTACCAGGTGTATGCTCCGATGGTGCATCGGGGCTGCTATGCCCCTCCTCTCGCCAGACCCTCAACTCAACTGTTAAAGCTACTTCAGCTATTCAACCCTTTGATCATTGACTGAATTTTCCGAAGGTCAACAAGCAAGTTGTCTTGAGTTGAAGTGCCCAGGTTTGTTGCCTTGCATCTCAGCCAGCGCAGTGCCAGCTCAATCATCTTGCCTGGCCTCGCAGCCGGTGTTGCCCAACAATGGCAGTAGAATAGGCGCTGCGCCTCATGGCGAGCGGTGGCTGGATCAGTGATTCTGCTTGCAGCTGTACATGGCTGACAACGCGAGACAGCACAAGCCCGGAAGTTCCTCACCCTGTGCCGACACAGGGCACGGCTGCCTCCACTGCAAGCACAGCGCCTTTTAGTGTCGCTAAGCTCCAGTATTCAGGGCCCCACCTATCAGCTTGGCACTTCCTTTGCCTAAAGCCCATCTTAAAGTTTGTTGATTCCCAAGCCCCAACCCTGAGGCTGCCCCTTGAAATTGGCCAAAGTTGTTTCTCTGAAGTTTTGTGGCACCCCTCAAAAGTCATCTTTGCCAAACTCTTCCCACTTGGAGATTGCCCTAGGGACTCTTTGGCGATTATGGAAAGGGATCAACCGTTCGCTAGGCAACACCGACTGTTCCTTCGAAAATAAATGACATTGACTAAGGTCGCTGAAGAAGAAGCTCCTCTTCACGTTGCTTCTCGGTCGTTGCGTATGGCCTGGGCTGTGGTCGTTGACAAAGTGCCCTTGGACATTCTGCGGGCCACTTGGCAGCTTTTTGCTTGCAATCTGCGCTGCAAGGTCAAAGTCCTGCTGTGGTTGGAGTAAACTTTGAAAACTAAGGGGTCCCTACTGCGACATGGCCAAGCAATGTCTTCAAGCTGCACTGGGAGCTACACTGCTGAAATTGCAGCAGCTATGATCTCGAATGCGGTAGCTGCCGAAGGGTCAATGGACTTTAGGGTCACTCTGGCCTCTGAAAGCTGTCACGACATTCAACCGCATATTATTGTTGGCCAGTGCTGGGTACCCTTGTTCCCTTTTTTGCCCAGCCACGTTGCCAGCCAAGGAGGTAGATGAGCACTGCAGGCAGCTCATCAAGGACAATCACTCCTGGATGTCAGACTGGGTGTTCAACAAGCGCATGCTTGGAATCCCACATGTGTTTGGGGACATCATGGAGCAACTCGTGCCTGGCACCATACAAAGCACAGATGATTTGGAAACCAAAGCCAGCAAGGTGAACAACGCCTGGATCCAACAGTCTCAGTTCTGTTTTTCCCACGGGCAGATGTGTGAGACACTGCGCCCTGTGGACGTGGACATGTCTGGCATGCCCTGCCAAGACAATAGCCGAGCAAACCACAAAAGAAAGTTCGAGAGGGGGGAACGCTTTGACACCTACCTCGTTTGGGCAAAGAAGCACAGAGTGATGAAAACCCCACTGATCATCTTGGAGAACACATCAGATTCTTTCGCAGCAGCAAGCTTTCCATAAGTCTATTTGATTTGGGGGTGGTGTGGCAAAATGTGTCACAGACTCCCTGCCTCGCCGTGCTCAGGACATCAGGCTGGACCCAATACAGCGTCTCCTGCCGGAGTATTTCCTCTACCAGCTCCATGTGACCCCGGGCGATGTGGGGTACCAAGGGGTGGCAAGACCACGTTCTTACATATTCCTTGCTCACTCAGAGACCTGTGAATATGTAGTGGACTTGTATGACCTCTATTCGGCCATCAAAGCCAAGATCCAGAAAACTGTGGTAACACTCCCGTCAGATTTCATGGTGTCTCCCAAAGTCACCCAGCAGTTGAACACGATGCAGCTCTGCCGATCCCGTGGCGTTCCTTTTCAACCAGAGTCTCAGCTTAAGTTAGCAGCCAATGTAAATTGACCCCCATTTTCGTGACATTACCTGACCGGTAACTTCCAACTCCGCTTTCTTCAGCCAACATTGCGGGCCAGGATGCAACAAGCGTATGGTATGCGTTGAACGATAGAGAGAAAACACTGGTCCAGCAGCTGGACGCTTCCTTTGAGGAAAAGTTTGGCCGTAGCCCGGTCTCGGACAGCTCTCTCGTGTACTTCCTCGGAGACCGATTTGAATATTCAAAGACGTGGTCTGCCACCAGCCACGCTATCCCGTGCTATCGCCGAGGCAAAGCAAAATACCTGCATAGGGCCGCGATGCAATTTTTAACATCCTATGACAAGCTGGCCTCGCTCGGCTGGCCGGTCTCGCCGGAAATGGCGGAGAACATGCTGTGCACGAAGTTTCCATGCGCAGATGTTTACCGCGCGGACAGCGTGGTTGGAAACAGCATGCACGTAGCAAACGCCTCAGTAGTTCTGCTTTTAAGACTGGCGTGCTTTGCCAAGCGGACGCCCGCCCAACTAGCCAGCTAGGTTTCACCTGTGTAGCTTCGCGTGTTGGTGAGGAAAGCTAGCGATTGCCTTGCTTGCAGGGTCAGCTCATTTGCCCAGCCTCTTACATTGTGTGAGCAAGCAGACTTGGTTTGCCCTCGACCTCAAGCCTGGCTCCGAGTGGCACCGATCACACTTGGTTCATTCTTCCTTTTGTGAGTCATCGAACGCAATGATGAATCCAACGCGCGCTGTGCTACCTCCCTTCCAAGTACCTGTGCCTAAAGGTGTTCGGCCAGTTGGGAACGCTGCGGCGGCAACTTCTTCAGCCGTGGTCCCTTTCTCTGCCCCGTCTCCACGCCCGCCCGCTCCTCCGGGTCAGATGGTGCGCCTTGCCTGCGAATTAAGTTCAGAGTCCTGCCCACCTGCAATTATCCTTCTTGTTTGCTCCTTTTGTTAAACGTTTGTCGAGGTGGTTTGGAGGACTGATGACTGCGGACTCTGCTGAAGCAGCGCCGCCAGCACCCAAGAAAGCCGCTGGCCCGAAGACAAGAGGCCCTGGAAGCTCGGCAGGTGCCGGCAAAGACAAGGACACCAAGTACTCCCCGTCGTACACTACGTTCAACCACTTCCCCGTACAGGGCTTAGAAGTTTGTTCTTGTCACTCTAACAACGTTTGGTGCGACTGTTGCGAAGTGTCACCAAACCTGTCCATCTCAGAACCTGCACCTGGTGGATTGGCTTTCCTCCCTCGAGTCCGTGCACCTCTCATCGATGTCAATGGGACGGCTTAGCAAGAACCAGCTTTGGTCCTACCTGCACTTGGCAACTGGAGTCATGCCCGTGGACAAGACACCAGTGTTGCTCAGTTGCCCTTTCATTGAGAAACGAATGAACTTAAAACAAGCTGACTCACACATTGCCCCATACTGCCAAGGTACGAAAGGAGCAAAATGCTTCAGTTCATGGAAGACGAGTACACCCGACTTGGGATGCCTTTCGCAGAGGGGTTCATCACACCAACGGACGCGTGCGAGCTTGTCACCCAACACCTAGCCGCCAACCAAGTTGTGCGGGTGGACCCGCCCTTCATCCCCAAAGAGCTGTTTGCCCGAGCTGCTGCCAGAAATCAGCCCCCCACCATAGCTGCCCTGCCCGCCCCAGCTGAGCAGGAGGACACACAGCCAGCTGATGCTGGGCAGTCGGTCATTCATTGTTGGACTGTGCCGTACGATCCCAAGACAAAGACGTGGCAGTTGGCTGCTCACGGCAAAGACGGGGACACTCTCAAAACGCTCGTGTTGGCCCCTCCTGCTGAGGCTGATTCTACCTCTTGTGGCTTGTACCAGATCGTGAACGAGAAGGGCACAATGTGCTTGTGGGCAGGTGGGGAGCGTGCCGCCCACCCATGCATGGAAGTCCTCCGGCTGGCTGCCCAGCAGGAAGCCGATGCTGCAGCAGCCGCAGCGACCGTGTCTTTGTTGCCACCTGGCACAGCCGCACCCCGCCCAAATCCAATTGCAGGGCCAGGAGACGGTTGCTTGAATTGGCTACAGTTGGTTCATTGGAGAAAAGGAAAATAAACATAGAGTTTGGCAAGACACTGTCCTAGAAACACGTTTTGCTTCCCCTTTGTGAGCGCAGGAAGCAGTTCCCGACTTCCTGCAACGGACGATTGCGATCCCAGTCTGCATTTGTCTTGTTTAGCGGGCTCGCAAAACAACTTGTTAGCCATGTTGGCCCTCGCACGCAAGGAAGGCTTCTCTGATGATGAAAGCGAGGAAGACAAACCAACACTCACTGCTGCTTCCGACGACAAGTCCCAGTGCCAAGTCCTGTCCTGGAACGGGCGGATGATTGAGCTTCCCACCACTACGGTCTGGGGCCTGTCCAAAGCAGATGGCAAATGGCTCGTTGACTCAATTGACCGGAATCCAAGCATCAAGCCCAAGTGGGTCGATGGCCTGCTGAAGAGTAAGAAAGCCAAGTGTCTTGTTTGCACCAGGAAGCCCCCAAATCAAATTGCTTCAGTTGAAAGGCCTTTCCCTGACACAAAATTGAGGGTCAATTAGCCTCAATTAGCCTCAATTAGCCTCAAAAAGCCTCAAAAAGCCTTTTTGAGGCAAATTGAGGCAAATTGAGGCAGATTGTGCCCTACTGTTTTTTGAATAGTTCCACCAACTTCCCACCCACCTCCCACAATTCCCACCCTGTCTCCCCTCCCCTTGCTTCCCAGACCCCTCATCTACAAGAGGGTCTGGTTTGTGGTCACCAAGAGGCCCCTGTACAGGAAACAAGGGAGTCGGCATCGCAGGGCGGGATTGTGTTGCAAGTTTGTCAGGGTCAAACTGAAATCAAGGGAGAAAAGGGATTTGGTTGGCAAGTTGTCCAATTTCAAACTGAAACCGGGGGATTTGGGTTGCAAGCTTTCCAATGTCAAACTGAAACCGAGGGATTTGGATTAACTAAGCTGCAACCGAGGGATGTGGTTTGCAAGTTTTCTAATGTCAAACTGCAACCAAGGGATTTGGTTTGCAAGTTTTTCCCAATGTCCAACGGAAACCAAAAGGGGTTGGTTTGCAAGTTTTCCGATGTCAGACTGAAACCGAGGGGTTTGGTTTGCAAGTTTTCCAAAACCTAGGTCCTCAAACACAAACTGGGGACACCGCGTGACCCTGAGCCCGGCCTGGCCGAGGACTTGCCCTCAACCTTCTAGCCCCGCGCCTGAAGCGAAGGAAGAGGCCGAGAAGAAGGAAGAGGAGAAGAAGGACGCCAAAAAGGAAGAGACTGAGGGCGGGGGGCCGAAGCCAAAGGCGAAGGCTGATCCAAAAAAGATCATGCCACCCCCGCCGCCACCTTCAAAAGTAGGGCCCCTTGAGAAGGCGTCAACACAAGTTGAAGTGCCGTGAGCAGGCTTTGCTTCTCACCAGAATTGCAACTTCCGTGTTTGCAAACAGACCAACAATTTCATTGACTCATCATGACTCATCATCTTATTCTTTGTTTGAGATTGTGCTACGGGTGGTTGCAGACAAGTTCGCAAACGGCCCAGGCAGCCCCGTGGGGTTTGAGGCTGGGAGCCAAATAAGAAGCCAACCTGGTGTGTTGCAAGTTGTTGCATCTCTGTGTATGGTGTTGTTTCCATTGCGCGTGTCTTGCGTATGTGTGTGTGTGTTGGGGTGCGTTTGTGCTCGTTTGTGCTTTTGTGTGAGTGGTGTGTCTGTGTGTTCTGCGCCGCGTTGTGTCTGTGTGTGTTGCGTTCGTTGTGTTTTTCGCGCGCGTCTGTGTGTGTGTGTGTGTGTGTGCGTGTGTGCATGTGTTTGTGTTTGCGTTGCGTGTTGTGTTTGCGTGTGTTGTTTGGTGCTTGGCGGTCACGCATGCGCGCGCTGGTGTGTGTTTCGTGTTCCGCGTCTGCGCGTGCATGTGTGTGTGTGTGTTGGGTGTGTTTTGCACGTGCTTTTTGCGTCGGGTGTTTGTGCGTGTGTGTTTGTTTGTGTTTGTGTTTGTGTGTGTGGTTGTGTGTGTGTGTGGCGGCGCGGTGCACTGGGTGATGCAAGTTATGGTGGTTGGAACTGACGTTTGTGCGCCGCGTGTCCTTTCTTCCATGGTTCAAAGACCCTTATAGCTTCCATGTTGGGGTTACAAAAGGGGCTTTGACAAGGTGAAGCATATGGATATATGGCGTTGAGTTTTTGGAACTGCGAAGAGTGATGAGCAACTTGAACCTTCCCAGCCTCAGCTTGGCATATTGTCTGGCGCTTTGTAAACCATTTTTTGCTAACCGCTGAGCGCTGGCCATCCCAGAAGGCGCTGTGTCAGTTTAGCTGCAGTAGTTGCAGCTGCAAGGCACATGCCCTAAAAAGAAGCACCGTTTGAGCATTGTTGCACTGCGTGTCTGGGATGAGCCGCCTCCAGCAAACACTGCGTGCGCTGAGAGAGCACAAAAAAGGCTGAGAGTGAGTTGTGTCAAAGCGCGCTGAACTTGGCATGTGTGCGTTTCCTCGCCTAAGTTGCGCAAACGCCGGCCCCATATCCGCTCAGGTCCTTGATGCGTATGCTCTTCGAAGCGAGAACTATTACGCCAAGGTCTTCAGGCCAGGTGCTGGAGTCAGCCACGCACGCGTCATGTTAGCCATGTCACTGCTGACCTGCCTGCGGGGCAAGGTCATGGTCCAAGTCCATGTCGAACAGCGTGTATGCACCTTGGACACAGAGAGAGGAAGCCAATTCTGTTGGTTACGTGGAATGTGGCTTGTGAGGTACTCATACGGGGCCTCAACCATGTTCTGAAGGTGATGACAGACCAACACCTCTCTGACTTCATGATGAAGAACCCGTGGAAGATTGGGGGGCGAGACACTGTCGACAACATCCAACTGCCTCCAATCGACCAGCGTCCATCGTTGGTCTTGGTAGCTTGCCTTTACTGGGCCCCGGGCCCCAAATTTGTTTTTCAAGAGTTGACGTTGCAGCAGATTTGGTTGGGACTGAACTGAATGGGACCTCTTCGAACTGTAGGCTAGGATTCCAATACTATGAGCCGGTTAGAGCACTGCATCCAACCCCCAAAAAAATCCAACATTGCTGTCCTTTCCCATGATTCGCCCAGGTGATGGACCAAGAGTCGGCTGGAGTGCGGGCCGCAAATCTCCTTTGCTCTTTGGGAGGCAGGGTCCTGATGATTCCGGACAGCTGTCACGGCCAGTGGAACGATTTCCAAAGGGCAGTCCAGGCGTCCAACCTGAAACTGCCACTTCTCAAGCTCACAGTATTGATCCATTTTGGGCGTGGTCCTTACCAAAGCGGGCGGTGGGGATGGAAAGTTACAGAAGCCGCCCAATTCCTGATGGATAGCGTGACGGAAGATTTTTTGCAGCAGTACCGGGAAGCAATCTCGTTTGACTTGCGCGAACCACTCGAGCGTGTCACCAAAGAGTTGTGGATGAACAC